CTTAAAAAGCAAGAACCATGAGAGATGCTGAACCCACCACAGGTGATCCTGGTAGGTGTGGAGCACGGAGAAGCCCCTGCCCTTCAGGCCTGAAGTCACCATCTCAACTGTGGACATGGCAGCGACCGCAATGGCAACAGGGGCCCTGAGGAGGAAGTAAGGCAGAGACAAGGATCAGGGCGTCTGTGGGGCTAAGCCCAGCTCAGAGCCTCAATGTGCTGAAAGCACGCTGGTTAAAAACACGAAGCACCCACTTGTAGAATAAAAGTAAAGCCAGTCTAGTCTCAATTTTCCTGAGATGACCTATAAATATGACTTAAAAAACCCCTTTACCAAGCATTTGTCCTCTGAATGAGTAACTGCTGTGCTGACATTATCACTGTGTTTCTTATAGCCCTGGTCTGAATTACATCAAGGCAAGACCAGGCAGGAAATTTAAACTTCTTTTTCATTTCAAAACTATAAATGACCTCAACTTTAAAGAAGACACGACCATCTAGACACTGGATGCCAGAGAAAGACGAGACAAATAATCACACTCACTAGAAAGTTTGTTTGCTCTGTTTAACCATCACAGAACTAGGTGTGTCCAGAATATATATATAAACACCAATTTTATAGTAACTATAGAAACTTCCAAGCCAGGTGGGAAACTTCCGAGCCCAGTGTGACTCAGGCACTACTGGCAAATCACCTATAGGGCTTGTGATGGGCTGGACAGAGACAGAAAGGACAGGTCACCTAGAGCTACAGAGAAAATTCAAGGGCAGAGCTCCCAGCACCTGACCTTTAAAAACTAAGCTGGGCACAAATGGGTTAAAGTGCAGCACCATGACGCTAGCTGCAGAAGCTTCAGAATGAGTTTGATTCCCAGCCAGGGAGCTGACCCACAAGGCGCAGTAGACCTCTCCTGACCCGCCCGCTGCTCCCCTCGGCAGTGTACTTCGATGATCTGCCGATCTGCCTGTTCTGCTCCCCACTCTGTCTCTGGTGAATCTTCTCACCGCCCCTGCATCTCTGGCTTGTACCCCAGTTCTGAATGCATAAATAAATAAATCTTTAAAAAGTAAAAAGAAAAATGTCCTGTGAAAGAAACTATTTGTGAAACAAATGGGGGGAACACAGTGTCCACCAGGAGATGACCTCTTCTATCACCACACAGCAGGTAAAAAGATCCAGTGTATCGGCCCTCCCTGGTGGTGCAGTGGGTTAAAGCACAGCAATGAGAAAACAAAGCCACTTCCACATGAGTTCGATCCCCGCCTGCCCCAGAGAAGATCCACATGGCGTGGCAGACCTCTCCTGGCCCGCCCGCTGCTCCCCTCAGCAGTGTACTTCATCCATCTGCCTGTTCTGCTCCCCGCTCTGTCTCTGGTAGATCCTCTCGCCCTCCACACCTCTGGCCTGTACCCCAGTTCTGTATGAATAAATAAATAAATCTTTTAAAAAAAAAGATCCAGTGTATCTGCGCTTGCTGAAATGGAAAATGTCCACTCTACCGTGAGAGAAGAAAACCAAAAAAGCATAGTTCTGAATGTATGTTTAAACCTACAAACCCCAATTTTTATATGTTTAAGTGTATATATGCATTTAAAAGGGCTAGTGAGGACAGGCATCAAAATAATGGCTAGTTCTCGGAAAAAAGGTCGTAGGGTAAGGGGACATCTGATTTTCAGGATTAAGTGTATGATTACTTCCTGAATTACTCACAAAAAGAAAGAGTGTGATGATATCTGAACAACTCTGTAAATACACAAAAACCATGTACTTGTTTAAAACAGGTGACTTTACAGAATTAGAAAAAAGTGTCAGTATTAGAAAGACAAGGAAAGAAAAAGAAAATTTCACAAAACAGTCATGATAACTAAACACAATGTGGTATCCTTGATTAGACACAGGAAAACGCATCATCCAGTAGAAAAAGTCTAATTTGTTAGTAGGACTGTATCACTGTTAATTCCTTGGTTTTGATAACTATATAGTGGGTATGTAAGATGTTATCATTAAACAAAACTGAGATTTCAGGCCTTCATACTGCCTCAGCAACTTCTCTCTAAATCTAATTGTTTTATAAAAAATTAAAAGGAGAAGCAGGGGCCCTCCCTGGTGGCGCAAGGAGTTAAGCACAGCACTACAAAGCTGGCTGTAGCCACTGCAGCACGAGTTCGATCCCCGGCCAGGGAGCTGACCCACATGACGCAGCAGACCTCTGCTGTCTCCTCGCTGCTCCCCTCAGCAGTGTACTTCATCAACCTGTCTGTTCTGCTCCCCACTGTCTCCGGTGAATCCTCTCACTGTCCCTGCACCTCTGGCCTGTATCCCAGTTCTGTATGCATAAATAAATAAATCTTAAAAAGATAAAAGGAGGAGCAGTAGCAGTAAGTACTTTTAGCCCAGAAATGGGGACACCCCACAGGTTCGGTGCTATTTCCCCAACAGTTCACACTCTGCTTCTTCCCACAGAACCTAGTATTTTGCTTTGCTTTGTTCTTCATTGAATCCTTTATCTACATGTTTTAGATGTTTTCATTCCCTATTCCCCTTTTAGTTATGTTTTCCCAGAAGCACAGTTCACCAGCACAGTTACCTGTTCCCCACCAAGACAATGGCACAGAGGTCACCCTTCTGTACCTGAGGCAGACCAGCAGGGGGCACCACCAGTCCCGGCAACATTAAATCTGCAGCAAACAAAAGCAAAGCATCACAACCTGCCATAAGCCTCCATCTAAACCCATCTTTACTTCACCATTTATTCATTCATTTACTCAACAAACAAAACTATTATATATCAACTATGTTATTCATATTGAAAATTTTAAATGGCAACCTGAGTGTAAGACCTTTTCCCTTAGGGGAGGGGGTAGGGAAGAGGGGATGCTGGTAGGCAAACTGAAGCACCAAGCTGATGATCCAGTTCCATCATCTAGCTCATCGTGGTTCCCTAAATTCAGCTTATTGATTTCAAGTATGGCAGGTCACAAAGTCCGTTCACATCACTCATCTTACTTAGGCCTCATAGAAGGGTCAGAGAAGCCTAGCATTCATGGAACCAGCCAACTGTAAGACACAGCACACACTGGTGAGGGATGGGGGAGACAACAAGGGGATTTCATGTTTCAGCTGCATGAGTACAGGAAGTGAGTACATTTATTAAATTAGTCCCTTACTAAGTAGGTTAAGACAATAGCCAGAATACAGGAAAACCTTACCTGCTCCCCCCATCAGTTTTTCAAGTACCAGAGGCCATGTCGTGAAAGTTGGCAGAAGATCTGGATAGGACCACAGGGTGTACACTGCTCAAAAAGAAATCCGGAAAACACTTACTACCAAAAAATCAATCCCTGGGGAAACGGGCAAAGTCAAACACTGCGGTCACTTTAATTAGGAGAGAAAAGAAACTCAAGTCATGGCTAAAGAGAGTTTATCAGTGGATACTCAATGAGGCTTCATTCTTGAGGAGAAAAAAGACTTAGGAAACTGATGTCACTTGAGACTGGGAGGTACCTATTGTCCTACTTCCACTGCAACCACAGCAAATGGTCACAGTGAATGAAAGTGGGGGCAGACCCTACAGGGATTCTATTTATAACAGAAGCAAGAAACCCAAGAACAGGACTTTGTCTGTACGAAAATTTAATACTTTTCCATGTTTATTATTTCTATTTTTCTGATTCTGTAGTGATCAGTGGGATCTATGTTTGAATAGCAGCAAAGTGAGGTATGGGTAGGATAGCCCAAGGAGACCCCATTGCATTGTTGCTGCCAAGTGGGGGTCAGTAGTTGGGGCGGGCAGTGGACACTGCATCTGTGAGATCTGTGACAAAGATAAAGCAAAGAATTAAGTCAGTCTGAGCCTAAGAAACAGTTCTGCTGATGTACATCACTAAGACAGCTGGATATGAGTTTAGTTACTCCAGCTTCTTTCCTTTCACAGTATCTTTAGCATCTTAAGAAAACGCTGCTTTTAAGAAACTTTTTTTTACATGTCCAGAAGTTCTACCCTTTTCAAGATCTATACCCTTTCCATCCCCAGTTAACCCATTTTAAACTATTGTTCCTTCATTTTCAGAACTTCCTCTGGTGACTTTCTCTCTTCTGTCAGCCCTGTTTTTCTGTCCTTTAGCAGCACCTGGAGTTGAAGAACCCAACTATAAGAACACTAGACCCAAAAAGATCCTTATGGAAGATGTTGGGAAATACTGGGCATGTTTGCTCTATAAAGACAGGTTAATGAAAGAAACAGAAAAGCAGATGTCAGGCAAGAATTCAAGTAGTGGCCACCTCCAGCCTACTGCCATACCTGTGGGATATAGATTTTTCTCCAGCTCAAACAGGATGGGGTTACCACCACTCATGTACACAGTCACTGCATCCCCTTTGTAAGCATACAGTTTCACAACATTGAGTTCCTCCTTTCCAGGTACTAACTCAGAGACCTGATCCGTTCCAAGGGTGGGGAAAGCAGCGGTTACATCAGCACGAAGCTTTCGCCTGCAGAAAGCACACCAATACAATTATGAATGCTGCCTGGATAGATTTTAATAATCTATGAATTATATAGTGTTATTATTTATCACACTCTACAATGAATATACATATTTATTATATAAAATAATGCAGTGGATTCCAAAGGATTTACTATAAAATCACAACGGTCAAGAAAAGACTGCTGGTTTCTAATTGCTCCATTCTCACATACTTTTTTAGAATATTCTATTCTCTTTCTTATTCAAAGTATCGTCATGTTTCTGGGGCATGACTGTTCATTTTACATAGAGAAAAACTGAAGCTCACTTAGCAATCCAAGACAGTCTGACACTGAAGACTCAATCCTGACTTCCTCACTCCATGTCTTCGCCATGGACGACTCCATTCTCATATATGCTTAGCAAGTCTATTAGTTTAAACAGTAAGCCAGGGCCCCAGAAATGACAACTCTGGAACACTGGCTCCAAAATTCCAAAGGCGACGGCTGCATTTACTGTCTGAATAGACACATTTCTCCTAATTACCAGTACCTTATCCTCTCCTGTCTCCCCTGCTGTAAATAATAACTAGACACTGTTTCTCATACACTTGCAGTTCTCAGCGCCCTATCTGATCTCTCCCAACAGCTTCTAAGTTCTCTGGAGGGCAAGGGACCCTGTATTCCTTCATTTTTGCATCCTCCACAACACCTTGAATGATCTGTGGCTGATTTTTGCGTTTTCCTTTAACTAGATTATCCAGAAAAGAACCTAGGAGATAAATCACCTTCACCCTCCAAATGTGTCTAACCCACCAAGGTCCCAGAGGTCCCTTCCCGGGGCTAAACCCCTAGGCCTTCCCCACGGAGCAGCTGACTCAACCCAGAGAGAGCTGGTCGGCCAACCGGGCCCAAGACGTCTGGGCGCCCTGCTGGGCGGCGTAGGCACTGCCCTCCCTCACCTGTCCGACCCCTTGATGGCCGTGTTGGACTTGACCCGAAAGGCCTTTGCAAACATGTCTGCTGGAGTGGCGTGGGGTAGGCAAGGAGAACACAGAAGTCAGGGGCTGTCAAGAAAGCGAGAGCGCGACAGCTCCCCGACCCGCAGCCCTGGGGGCAGCCATGTCGGGGACCGGCTGGGAAAGAGGCCCGGCTGGAAACCCGGGCGGCGCACTTTTGCGGCTGTAGCTGCTGCGGGGCTAACGGCGGCCCCTAGTGGCGGATTGAGGCACTGAAGCAGGTTGGGGCTGGGCCCCGGGAGTAGGTGCGGATGCCTGCGCGGGGCGTGACGCCACGCCCACAGGCGGCCGGCTTTGCGCCTGCGCGAGTAAGGGGCGTGCGCTGTTGTCTGTGGGGCTTCCTCGGCTTTTCCTTCGTCCACTGCAGGGTGTGTTGCTTTCAATCTCTGTTGTGTTGCCTTAAACCCGATTTACTTTAATACCACGAAATGAATTGCACTTTTGTGTTTTATGAAACTTGCAATCCTCTTGAACGCTTTCCTTGAGGACTTTTTTTAGTAAAATCTTTACATTTTATTGCGCGTTAGAGGCTTCAGCTACGATTTTCGTCACGATTTTCTCCGTCCTGTTTTTTCATTTACGTAGGATGGCAGTAACAGTTTCACTCTTGTCCCAAGTTTGCCTTTCATCTTATGAAGGGAAAAACTACAAACACCCTTCAAATCTACTGTTTTAAAATATGTCTGACCATATTTATGTACCTTTTGGGTACGTAATGTGGGGATTTGGCTTACATAGTAATTAAGTATATTCATGTTATTTTAAAATCTGTGGGAAGGGCCTCCCTGGTGGCGCAGGGGGTTAACTGTCTGCACTATGAAGCTATCCGCATCCGCAGCCACTGCAGCATGAGGTGGATCCCCAGCCAGGGAGGTGACCCACATGGTGTAGCAGACGTCTCCAGTCTCGCCTGCTGCTCCCCAGTCTGTCTCTGATTAATCCTCCCACCTTCTGTACCTCTTGCATGTACCCCAGTTCTGTATGTATGAATAAATAAATCTTTTAAAAATAGGGCCCTCCCTGGTGGGGCAGAAGGCTAAAGCACAGCACTAAGAAGCTAAAGCCACTTCAGCATGAGTTCAATCCCCAGCCCCGGGGGTGACCACATGGTGCAGCAGACCTCTCCTGACCTGCACCCCTCAGCAGTGCACCCCTCAGCAGTGAACTTCGTCAGTCGGCCTGTTCTGCTCCCCACTCTGTCTCTGGTGAATCCTCTCACCGCCCCTGCACCTCTGGCCTGTACCCCAGTTCTGTATGCATAAATAAATAGATCTTTAAAAAAATATCTTGAGATAAATGAAAATGGATGATATAAGTTACCAAAATCCTTGGAGTGCAGCAACAGAAGTCCCAAGGGGGGAAGGTAGTTGCAATATAGGCCCATATCAAGAAGCAAGGAAAAACCACAATCTAATACTATCTATATCTAAAGCAACTTGGAGAAAAGAAACAAAAGAAACCCAAATTTAGTAGAAGGAAGGAATTAATAAAAGAGATCAAAAAGATTTAGAAAAAAAATCAATGAAAATAAGAATTGATTCTTAAAGAAGATAAACAAAGCAGACAAATCACATATGAAAGATACGTGATTGGCATAATTAGCACAGAAATACAAATGATCATAAGAGATTACAAAGAACAATGATATGCCAAAAGATTCGAGAATCCAGAAGAAATGGGCACATTTCCAGATTATTATAGTCTACCAAGACTAACCCAGGAAGAAAAATAAAAGTTGAACAAACCAATCACAGGCATGGAAATAGAAATAATAAAAAATAAGCTTCCCCTGGCCCTCCCTGGTGGCGCAGCGGGTTAAAGCACAGCACTAAATAGCTAAAGCCACTTCAGCATGAGTTCAATCCCCGCCTGCCCCGGAGGTGACCACATGGCGCCCGGCAGACCTCTCCTGACCCGCCTGCTGCTCCCCTCAGCAGTGTACTTTATCACTCTGCCTGTTCTGCTCCCCACTCTGTGTGTGGTGAATCCTCTCACCGTCCCTGCACCCCTGGCCTGTACCCCAGTTCTATATGCATAAATAAATAAATCTTTAAAAAAAATTAAAAAAAAAAAAGCTTCCCCCAAACCCCACAAAAGCCCAGAACCAGGTAGCTTTGCAAATGAATCAAACCTTTTAAAAACTAAGGGCTATCTTGTTCAAATGTTTTAAAAAATATAAGAGGGAATACTCTTTTCATTTTACAATGCCAACATTAATACTAAAGCCAGATAGAGACAGCACAAGAAAAGAAAATTATTTCCCTGCTGAATATAGATGCAAAAATCTTCACCAAAATTGATGACAAATTCATTAATTTCTCACAAGGATTGTATATCATGATTAAGTTGGATTAATCCTAGGATACAAGGATGGTTTAATATACTTAAATCAATCAGTATAATACATCATATTATCAAAAGTAAGGATAAAACTCATATCAATAGATTCAGAGAAAGCATGTGAAAGATTCACTACCCATTTATGATAAAAATTCCATACAAGATGGGAATAGAAGGTAACTATCAATATAATAAATGCAAACAACAAACCACAAACTGAATAGAACAAGACAAGGACTTAGTACTAGATATTTTGGCCGGTGCTACCAGGAAAAACATCAGGAAATAGATGCAATCCAAGTCAGAAAAGTAGTGATGTTAGAAAAATGAAATACAAGTAAAAAAAAGCATTGTAGGATACTCCCTGGCGGCACAACGAGTTAAATTCCAGCACTGTGAAACTATCTGCAGCCACTGCAGCACGAGTTCTATCCACAGCCAGGGAGCTTTACCACATGGCACCGCAGACCTCTCCTGCCCTGCCTGCGGCTCCCCTCCAAAGTGTATTTCAGTCCATCTGCCTGTTCTGCTCCCTGTTCTGTCTATGGTGAATCTTCTCACCACCCCCCCATACCTCTGGCCTGTACCCCAGTTCTTATATGCATAAATAAGTAAACCTTTTACAAAAAGCATTGTAGACAATACAGAAATACAGAAAGTCCTAGACCCCACCATAAAACTATTAGAAACAATAGATGAATGAGCAAAGTGACAATTTACAAAATCAACATACAAAAAATTATGCAAAAGAAATTAAGAAAACTACCCCAATTATAGTTCATCAAAAATTATTAAATTCCTCAGAATCAGCATAACTATATGACAAGAACTACAAGATGTTATTAAAATCCCATTCTCATGGATAGGGAAAATCAATATAATCAAAATGATTATCCTGCCCTAAATTATACATAAATTTAGTGTAATTCCCAGAAAAATACCAGCAAAAATTTTCAAAGAAATTGAACAACAGAAAAAAGAAATTTATTTGCAAAAGAGAAATGGACATATCACATTATCTTACTTTAAACTTTTATCTTTGTTTTACTGTACTAAAAACAAGATAGTATTGGCAAAAGTAGATATGTGGATCAATGGAATAGAATTAAAGCCTAGAAATAAATCCTTGCACACACCAGCACCTAGTCTATAATAAAGAAACTATCACCAAAATGGAGAAAGAAGTCTCTTTTATAAATGGAGCTAGGAAAGTTGGAAAGCTACACATTAAAAGAATTAAATTGAATCACTTGTTACCCTAGATACAAAAATTAAATCAAAGTGGATTAAAGATTTCAATGTATGGCCTACAACAATAAGTTACGGAAAACATTAAAACTACCTTTCAATATATCAAAAATAAAGATATTTTTGGTGATCTGACCTCTACTGCAAGAAAGATAAAAATAAACAATTGAGATGACCTCAAGTTAAAAAGCTTTATACAGTGAAAGAAAATGTAAGACTATTAAAAAGACACTCTATAAACTTTATAGAAGGAGAAAATATTTACATAACTGGTAAGGTTAAATTAAGACCTGAGACATGGGGCCCCCCCTGGTGGTGCAATGGGCTAAAGTGCAGCATTATGAAGCTAGCAGGGAGCTGACCCAAATGGCGCAGCAGACCTCTCCTGTCTTGACCGCTGCTCCCCTCTGCAGTGAATTTCAGTAGACCTCCCTGTTCTGTTCCCTACTTTCTCTGGTGAATCCTCTCACCCTCCCGCACCTCTGGCCTGTACCCCAGTTCTTGTATGCATAAATAATCTTTAAAAAAAGAACCGACATATGCAAGAAACTATATAGTTCAACAAAAAAAACTCACGGCCCAATTAATAACTATGCAGCAGATATTAGAAGACAGTTCACCAAAGATGATGTCTAAAAGGCGATAGACATGTGAAAAAATGTTCATCGCTGCTTCAAATGAGAAAGACAGGTTAAAAGCACAAGTTACCATTTCATGCCCATGCGAACTGCATATATATATATAATATATATATATAT